CTCAGGTCTACTTCTTCCTCTATATCTTTCCACATTCATAGTTAACATTCTCTTACGAACCTCATTTTTATTTCGTCTCATCACATGTCCATACCATCCCAAGCGCGCACTTCTCAGCTTCTCTGTCACAGGTGCCACTTTCAGACTTCTTCTATCATATTCATTCCGTATTCTATCCATTCTCGTTACTCCACACATCCATCGCAACATTCGCATCTCTGCTACATGCAATCGCCTTTACTTTCATAAAGTAAAGAAGTGCTTCAATTATATTTACCTACATACCAATAAACTGTGTATTTTTGGATCTTGGTAATATCGTCAGTTGTTCATTGCTTCTCGGGCAAGTAAAGTATAAGAAACCTTTGGAAATTTCCGATGAAAAAAATGAAAGAAATAGATTTTGAAAGTCATTTCATCAGTCTCCTACCGAAGCACTCACTGATCTAATTCTTCCACTCGTGATAACCCGTACAAAGTATTTTAAACAACAGAATGAGTATCTCCAAAGTTAAGTTTAAGGGATTTTTAGTTTTATTAATAAGCATTTTATTCATGGAATATAGTTTCTAATTGCAGGTAAAGAATTAAATTTGTAACTTTATTTATCTGATCGCACTTACAGTCGCATGGCTATAATTTTTGACAACCAAGGTACAAGTAAGGTAATCAAGTGCAATGGCCAGAGCTCTGTCAAATCTAATTGTGTAGTTCTAAGTGAACGAAACGTATTGGTTGAATACGAAAAAAAAGTATTAAAAATTCAAATATGAAAGCAGAATGAAATAATAATTGCTATACGCATCGTAAAATTCGTTACATACTTCGTAAAATTCACAATATTTTTAAATTCAGAAACGATTTTAAAACTACAACTACTTACTTATTTATTTATAAAAACTTTTCGACATAAAATAAATTGTATATGAAATTTTAGGATTTTCTTTTTGGAGTTTACTCCTTTAGAATCGATTTACATATATAGGCCCGGGGTATGAAAATTATGGGGACCAAAATCGTACTAGCATGTCACACGAAATGCGTTATGCGCCTGATTGCGCATGTCACACGAAATGCGTTATCGCAGGTGACGCCGGGCTGCTGCGCCGGCAGTCCGCCACAAAGCCTCGTACTGATCGCGCGTTTCTCTCATTATTGTATTTTCATATATTTGTTAGTCGTTTGTTTTGTGTCTCGTTAATTTGTTAATAATCTGTAGTGTATCGTGTTGTCGTAATATAGAACTATTTCTCGTATTGTTTCGTTTAATTTTTTATATCCAGTAAACTCCAGTCGTGCGTCGGAGCGGACACACACACTTTTTTTTATGTTTATTGTAATCTTGATTCTGATGGATCATCATCCACAACCATTGGTGTTCATAAGGTTTTACTTTGAGGACCGAGTACAATCAACGATTTTTAAGATTAACTATAGCTATATAATTATCGGAACTACTACTACTACTTACTACTCACGAGGGCTCAAGGATGGTAAACTGTTAGAGCTATAGCATTAATATTTTTTAAGGATTTATTATTAATGATATGAGCGATAGTGAAACTATAACAAATTGTTTGATTGCCAGCGTTCACTAAAAAATGTAGGACAGATGTTGGCTTTTCGCATTTAATCCCCGAAAGCGTGTCGGAGCGTGTACGACATCGTATCAAAACATTCTACCAACTTGTAGCGTTTTATTGCAGCACAAATATCTCGAGATTCGGCCCTAATCCCGGGGTCAAAGAACCCTCAACGTCGGAGATTTGTTTACAGTGTATAGCAAAGTAGTAATACAAGTCGAGATTTTATCGCGTTACAATTTTACTGTTTTTTGGGCTTAATCACTAGTTGACTGAGGTGCGTTTATATTACTGTTAAACGTCATTTAACCTATACCTTATGTTTTTTTAATTTTTTTTATTGCCTATATGTGTGGACGAGGTCACAGCCCACCTGGTGTTAAGTGGTAACTGGAACCCATAGACATCTACAACGTAAATGCGCCACACACCTAAGGTCTCAGTATAGTTACAACGGCTGCCCCACCCTTCAAACCGAAACGCGTTACTGCTTCACGGCAGAAATAGGCGGGGCGGTGGTACCTACCCGTGCGGACTCACAAGAGGTCCTACCACCAGTAATTACGCAAATTATAATTTTGCAGGTTTGATTTTTATTACACGATGTTATTCCTTCACCGTGGAAGTCAATCGTGAACAATTGTTAAGTACGTATTTCATTAGAAAAATTGGTATCCGCTGGCGGGATTCGAACACCGTTGCATCGCTATATACGAATGCACCGGACGTCTTATCCTTTAGGCCACGACGACTTCAATATTATGTTCATTGTCAGTGCGTTTCCGGATAATATTTATTCACTTTTCACAAACCTTTAGAATGAACTACACTCTTAGATGTTTCTTCACGGCTATGACAAGTCTTCTTTAATATAAGGTTTGAAGAGGAAAACAATGTTGGGCGTTTCGCTGTGTGACCTTTTGCAATCGTTCATAAACTACGTACACTGTCTTCAACCAGAATTCTAAGGCTGCCATAAAGCAATAATCCAGTGAAGTTGGTAAGAAAGGATTGAAATGCCCGTGTGGCATGTTCCGTTGTGTTTTTTTGTAACAAATAAATAAATAAATACGTACTCAACAGGTGTTTCAAGATGAAGAAGTAGCATAGTTAGCATGTAATGCATAATTTATATATTTAGGTATTTATTATCGGTTGGGCTAACTCTGAGACTAGACTACTTTTTACTGGTGGTAGGACCCGAGTAGGTACCATTACCCTGCCTATTTGTGACGTGAAGCAGTAATGCGATTCGGTTTGAAGGGTGGAGCAGCCGTTGTACTGTTAAAAGTGAGACCCGACAATTCATGACGCAAGGTGGGTGGTGGCATTTACGTCGTAGCTGTCTATGGGCTCCGGTAAACACTGAACACCAGGTGGGCCGTGAGTTCGTCCACCTATGCAATAAAATTAAATAAAAAACTTGGGTAAGTTTTTTGCCATTTTATTGCTTATTTCTGCCGCAAATTAATCGTGAGACTTCGACATAATGTCTCAAAGTCGGTGGCGGCAATCTCGTTGTGATATCTATGGGCTCCCGTAACAACTTAACGCAAGGTTGGCTGTAAATCAATTTTTTCAAACTTTTCCTATTTTCATTCCCCTCTGCAGTTATTGGTTCAATAACCCCGAGCTGATTATTCGTTGACTTTTACGCAGGGGACAAACTTATGCTCAAAAATGTTTGCAAGCCCCCTCAAGCTTTTTCATTTAACAACTCGAAACTTTGGTGTTAAGCTTAAAGTTTTGGGGTTCGTTAAACTTTCGCACCTCGGCTGCCTGGATCTCACTTGAATTCAAACTTTATAATTTATCTTATTTGGTACGAAGTTATTATTAGTATTATTGTTGTTTAATGTAGCAAATTATTTCTATAATCCCATTAATCAATCAAATCTCTCTTGAAATGAAGATAAGGATTTCTGAAGGCGTGGTTTCAGAAATATTCGTTTTTTAAATATTTCATTTTTTTATATTTTGAATACGAGAGTGATAAGCGCTAAATTAAGCCGATAAAACAATTTACTTGATATAGTATACTTAATGTAGTAAATATCATATACTTAATGTAGTAAATTATTTCTATAATCCCATTAATGAATCAAATCTCTCTTGAAATGAAGATGTGGATTTGATTTCAGAAATATCCGTTTTTTTTAATATTTTTTTTTATTTTTTGAATACGACAGTGATAATAAGCGCTCAATTAAGCTAACGATAAAACGATTTGCCAAAATGGAATCTTTGAGCAAAATTACTTTTGATATATTCATCTTAAGCAATCAATCAAATGTAATCAAATCTTAGTTATATAATTTTTTTTTATTTTTGTTCTTAATGCACTGTCGATTGCACCTATAACTGAGGTGACATCTGCCATGAACTATTGTCAATTGTTCAATGTTTGGTATTGATGATCACTTTGTTGGTGCAACTTAATAAATAAATAAATATGTATCGTTTTTTTATTTTATTTTTTTATTTAGACACACCAACAGCAATACACACAAAACATTCAAGCTTAACATGTATATAATTAAGTACTGGTATGTAAGCCAGTTACAGGCATGTACAGCAATCTCTTATAACAAACTATGACTTGTTACAGCAATTTTACAAATAGCGGAAAAATAGGCTAAATTTAAATGTTAACAGTACGACAAAAAAGTATGTTTGAAAATAACATGAAAACAAGGGTTAACTACTTAACATTCTCTCATCAATTATAAACAAAGGAACTCGGATACTAGTTTGTTTTTGAGACCAGGACACGTGTCGTTAAAAATGTCAATGCCGTCAATTAATGCACATATTTGGTTATATTCACTGCAAATCTTTGATAAAGGGGAATATCTAAGGAGCTTTGTTCTACTTTTATGTTTTTGGTTGGTTATGGTTTTGTTGTGCCGCTGTGATCTCCGGATAATCACGAGCTAATCTACGTTGTACATATCGACGCTTGAAAGGCAAAAGTGACTAAGCGACAATGCGTGAGCTTTACAGTAGATTAATTTAAAGTTGAAATTAATTTAAAACATACACGAGAAATACCTAAAAAAAAATCTATTTTAACGAATCTAGCTGTAGGATTGAAATAATTTTAATAGACATAGAATTTTTTTATTTTTTTTTTTCTCGCATCGAATATGGTTATTGCCTATCATTTATGTACAAATCAGTTATTGTAGCTTATTCGCGTTTGCCTTTCAAGCGTCGAAGTGTACATACATATAAAAAAAACATGTTCACGTTTTTTGAATTCCCAATGGCGATTACTCATAAACCGTTGGCGTCGGCTACGGAAGTGCATTTTATCTGTTCAGCGCAGACATACAGTTCAATGTCACGTTTCAAACTATATTTCAGTTAAACTCGGATGTCTGAGTGATTAGGTAGTTTACAATTAAATAATTTTTTTTTTTTTGTTTTAACATCATAGATCTATTGGGTTTATTGTTTAAAATTTGCAACAATATAAAGTCGATGGTACTATTTAAAATGAAACGTATATAATTTGGTGAGTGAACACAATTTTGTTATATTTTTGATTTAGTGACTATTATTCCAAGTGAAGGGTATCTGGTTTTGTAAATTAATTTTTACTGGTCTCCTAGACACGGCACGTGGTTTTTCTCGCGCTCATTTTTTAATTCAAAACTAGCTGACCCAATAGACTTCATAGTGTCGAAATCGATAAATAAAAGACCTAAAATTTGGATAAAATAAACTTAAAACAAACAAAAGACATGAAAGGAAAAAGAAAATTGTTATTTTTATTTAATTACGAGTATTTTCATATTTATCTACCTTTTAAACCTTCTCTGGACTTCCACAAATAATTCAAGACCAAAATTAGCCAAATCGTGTCAGCCGTTCTCGAGTTTTAGCGAGACTAACGAACAGCAATTCATTGATATAGATTATTCAAAATTAATGAACAATATCACCTTTTCCTGGGATAATGACTGGTTTATGTCTCTCTAGCCTAAAAACTTCAAGTATTCATTACCGTAGAAGTATCGGTTTGAACTGAGGGTTTGTTCGTCAGAACAGCACAGGACATGCAATGCTTTCTTCTCAAGAACCATCTGGTATACAGTGATTACGGAAGCTCGTAGCCATTACACCGTGAATGCGTCAACTTGTGACATTTTAAAGTCGAAGTGACATTTTGAAGTTGTCGTGGTCTACAGGATAATACGCCCCAGTACACTCTTATCCAGCGATGCGACTGTATCAGTGTTCGAATCTCGCCTACGAGTGTCTATTTTTGTGATGAAATACGTTCCGTCGCAAAAATAGACACTTCACCATTCACGATTAATGGAAGTCATGGTGAAGGAATAACATCGTGTAATAAATATCAAATCTGCAAACACTTTTATTTGGGTTATTACTGGTCTACATCTTGTGAGCCCGCCCGGGTAGGTACTACCACCCTGCCTATTTCTGCCGCAAAGCTATCGTCGCACAATGCGACGGCCTTACACCGCGGCTTTCAATCGGTTAACATAGATTGGCGATTACGGTATGCTAGTATCTTATCTTATGCCTTTAAACGTCTACTAGCTACGATTTATTTTCAGAAAATGTTGTTTTATTCGTGTTTTCCATAATCAACTCTTCCCGACATTTATTGGCGAATAATAATACTATTTTTCTTAATTGAGGGCAACTAACCGCTTTAAAGACACAACAAGATGGCGTTATCAAAAAAAAACCGAGCAAAGCTCGGTCATCATCTACTAATATTTAGAGGAGACGATTGCTCATTTGTACGTTCCCTTAGTCACCTATTAAAATACCCACGGGAATTGATGGGCCGATGCTATTCTAGGTACTGTACACTCGAGAATGTTCGAAATTTACCTAGAACCATATGAAAATTAAATTAAAGTGAATTCTTAATATTCCCTATTGGCATGCAACATTAGTTAGTATGTTCTCGTAGAATTATTGCGCCAACAATCTCTTAGGTCGTACAAAACAACTGGGTTGTGGGCACAGCCATAATCTGTCCCAACCCAAGTTTTAACTGTCAGTTCGTTAATGAGTCACGTAGGCGAATTCGCCTCATTACTCCGGAACGAAGGTAGCGTGAAACTTAATAAGACCGCACGCGCGTGTCATATAAAGTCCATTGAATTTGTTTTACGTTGACTATACGAAGACACAGTATCAGTAAACACAGAAAAGTCAATTGTTTTAAGTACTGTTTATGATTGTTTTTTTGAAACTATTGCATAGCTTTTATCGCGGGCTTTGAGCGCGGCGACCGAATCAATAAATTCCGTAACGAAAATAAAACCTAACACCCCCACTCTGCCTACCAGGTAGCTCGCGTTCAACACATTCACACGTTGCGTTTGTGTAGTGTTTGTCGCACTGAATGCGCGTCATGAAAAGTCAGCTCATAGGTATCTCTCTCTCGCGGTCTAGCTTATGAGTGTGAAGGGGACAGTTGATGTTTTGCTTTTGTTAATGTTTATAAATATAGCGTGGTCTTATTTTATTATTGTTTTAATATGAAACTATTATTGTCTAAATATAATTGCATAAGTTGATAAAGAAATGCCATGACCGCGGCAGTCCCCGATTGCCACACGTGTTTTTTTTTTCTTAAATTATAACACTCTCCTCCATTCAGAGTCCCGTTGATCATTTAAATTTTAGGACGGAATTTCTTGATCTCTTAAATCGAGCTAGTTTAAAGATAAATGTTTTTTTTTCTTTAAAATACCGGGAAAAACCGTCTCGAGCAGTGTCTTCATGATCAAAATATACAGATATACAGAATATGGCTAGAAGGATTTAACGGTTTCTATTTCCTTAAATTCGGAAAGAATCAAACTCCACGGATAAAGAGTTATCTATAACTTTCTGGTCCATAAACTAATTACCAGTCGATTTGTAGATCCATTGATACATAAAATCCGAACATCGAACATACTCTCGTATTTATTATAGCAGATATGTCCAGTTTCCCGGGTCATATAACGTTTACCATGGTAAGGTGTATAGTCTGCAAATTTATGTCTGTGCGAAATATCATCAAAATTCGTAAAATAGTGACGGAGATTCATTCATCGTCAACATTTTCGGCATTAATAATAATTTACTGGATGTCCGACTAGTTGATTGACTGCTGAGCTCAAATATTGCTTTTTATCAATCGATATTTTTTTCAACAGTTATTGGAATAGAGTTCCTTATCGTGCGTTCTGCTTTCGTACTGAGGGACCAGACCGAAAAACGTGTAACAATAAAAAAAGATACCGAAAACCGACATCGTTCTGCAGTAATTTTTGATCTGATCACTTCCTGAGCACTTCCAATTCTTTAGGAAACTGAAACCTTTTTCTTGATTACCGTCAATTTAGAGAATATGCGAAGAAATGAATATGAAATTCGAATTTAAAAATACATTATATAGATACATAATAACTAATAAAAAGATGTGTGGTGTCGTGGGACACCGGATAGGAACGAAGTTGCTTATTATAAAAATATTAATTTTAAGTTCTATTCGAGGTATAAAGAAAATACTTAATCGGGTATACATTTTTTATTATGATTTTTTATTGATAAAAAAAACACTTTACAAAGTTATCAACTTTATTTTATTCACAATGATTTATAAAAAATATATATTAATAATATACAAGAAAACAGCTATTTATATGATGAATAATAACCGTCATCACATAGACTATACATTAGACACTGTATAGCCATCATACTAAGACTATACATAAATAATAAAAATCTTACGTAACGGACGTTTTTTCCCGGTTAGGGTACCCCTCCGCATCGTCCCATAAGGAGCTTCGTTCCAATAAAATAGGAATATATTTTTTTCACTAATATTCAAGAAATTCATCTGCAACATCAACTTTATTACCCTTTTTTTACATTGAATGATTCGTTTTATTATTTTACACTGAGTCTTTATTTTTTATTTAATCGTTATTAATAGAAACACAAAAAAGGTATATAAAAAAGGAACTCCAGTGTCTATAAGAATATTTTCTAATAATTCATAATTAGAATTCGAATTATATTGCTTGTGAAGTTATTTTAAATATAACGCGACTGTGTCCATAATATTTCAGTGTTTAATCCCCACACGTCACATGAATACAGCAATAAATTAAGTGTCTTTTTGTGATATGTGTAATTATTATTTCGCATTCAATTTACTTAGATTAAATGAAATATTCAATTCCTTTAAAATAAATCATTTCAGTTTAGTTACATGATTTTTTTTGGGTTTTATGAATAAAATTGTTATGAAAAAGCCTATCGCAAAATCGGCCCTCAGAATGATAATTCGATTTGTTCGTTTAACCTCAATTCAGAATGATGATGTTAGATAAATGAAAATACACTTCAGTCGACCTAAATTTCAGCTCTGTTTTTATTACAGGTCGTTCTTTAGCTAACTGTTCTAACCCTTATCGAGTGTCGCTAAATCAGCGGTTACAAATGTGAAGTCGTCGTGGCCTAAAAGATAAGACGTCCGGTGCATTCGTATGAAGCGATGCATCGGTGTTCGAATCCCGCAGGCGGGTACCAATTTTTCTAATGAAATACGTACTCAACAAATGTTCACGATTGACTTCGACGGTGAAGGAATAACATCGTGTAATAAAAATCAAACCCGCAAAATTATAATTTGCGTAATCACTGGTGGTAGGACCTCTTGGGAGTCCGCACGGGTAGGTACCACCACCCCGCCTATTTCCGCCGTGAAGCAGTAATGCGTTTCGGTTCGAAGGGTGGGGTAGCCGTCGTAACTATACTGAGACCTTAGAACTTATATCTCGAGGTGGGTGGCGCATTTACGTTGTAGATGTCTATGGGCTCCAGTAACCACTTAACATCAGGTGGGCTGTGAGCTCGTCCATCCATCTAAGCAATAAAAAAAGTTATTCATATCAGTTACAATGCTTTTAAAAACCTTCGCTATTGTGTCATTTATTACAAAATGTTGTTAGTAAGTCTAGAGTGGGAAGTTTTATACTTGTGAGGTCTGCTAGTTTGATTTCTTCGACAATCCGCTTCAATGGTTTTTGATCTCAATATGTTTTTGGAACGAAGTTCCTTATGGGACGATGCGGAGGGGTACCCTAACCGGGAAAAAACGTCCGTAACGTAAGATTTTTATTAGTAATGCACACAGTGTACGACTTAACTTTGTAATAACGTACAAAAAATAACATATTTTATTATCATTCATTGACCACGATCTCAGAGCATTCGTTTGCGCAATACACTAACTCTTATGCAAACAACCGTGAATGAAGTGTACCACAATAAGTTCGCACGTTACCGAATTACCGTGGGTTGTTGCGAAACCTCCAGTTTTATTTTCTTTATATCTCGAATAGAACTTAAAATTAATATTTTTATAATAAGGAACTTCGTTCCTATCCGGTATCCCACGACACCACACATCTTTTTTATTTATTTTGAAGATAAGGAATCATCTGAATGGAATTATCTGAAGGTGACATTAGAAATATCAGGTTTTAAATAATTAATTAAATCCGTCCCAACGTAAACGCTTTCTACAAGCCACCGATTGTAGTTATAAACAAAACGCGTATGGAAGTGTGCCGCGTGGTCCTTAAGCCGAACCGAATGGCGCGATTTTCAAATCCAATGAAAACCTGTGTACGGTTGCTTTTGCGGTGTAAAGGGTGTTAACTGCCCTTTATTAATAAAACAAGTTAGTTCCAATTTTACTCCGTATATTGTCACAAGTGTCTGATGTGTCGGGTGGGCTATGTGCGACTGACTAATGCAAGCGATGCACAAACTGCATACGCTACTAAACTGTGTCCCTACAACCGTAGTTTTTATCAAGGTTGTGTAGCCTTTTAAAATACCTTAAAGACTATACGGTAAGAGTTGCAAATTTTTTCTCTTCCGTGTAAATTTTCGCTTTCAGAAATTTTACAATGAAAATTTTAAGTTGATAATAATTTGGGATTTGGTCTTAGCCCGAATAGCATAGTACGCTAGGCCCATCGGTGGACCGCATGGCGTTCAAAGTGCTAATTGATTACCGAGGCTCATCACATGATTAGACCTTTCTTGAGACGCGGTTTTGGAGTCCCGAAATGTCGTCTAACGTCTGCCCCGCCTTCAGACCGGAATAGACATCTTATGCTTCAGAATCGAAATACAGCTTTATTATTTATTAAAAGCGACAGTTTCAGATCAAAAATACAATTAGGTTGATACTATTGAATTTCAACTGTAAAATAAGTAATTGAATTTTGATGAAATTGAATTTCTTGCCTTCTATTTCGGAGTCAACTTCATTAGGCGGCTCAAGCCTACAATAGTTTTGAGTTTATCAATTTCACAATCATTTTATTTATGTCAGTAATGAATTTATGGAAAGTGAGTTTCTAAATTAGCATGTGCGAACTTTTAGTTTCTGTATCAGTTTTCATATGAAATCATATTTTCTACAACTTCTCGAGAAACATTACTTGGTTCTAGCACGTAAGGACGAGTATGAAGCGCACAAAGGACTTAAATTACTTAGCCCTGTATGTTACCACCCAAATTTATAATAATTTGAAGTCGTCGTGGCCTAACGGATAAGATGTCCGATGCATTCGTGTTGAGCGATGCACCGGTGTTCGAATCTCAGGCGGGTACCAATTTTTCTAATGAAATACGTACTCAACAAATGTTCACGATTGACTTCCACGGTGAAGGAATAACATCGTGTAATAAAAATGAAACCCGTAAAATTATAATTTGCGTAATTACTGGTGGTAGGACCTCTTGTGAGTTCGCGCGGGTGGGTACTACCACCCTGCCTATTTCTGCCGTGAAGCAGTAATGCGTTTCGGTTTGAAGGGTGGGGCAGCCGTTGTAACTATACTTGAGACCTTAGAACTTATATCTCAAGGTGGGTGGCGCATTTACGTCGTAAATGTCTGTGGGCTCCAGTAACCACTTAACACCAGGTGGGCTGTGAGCTCGTCCACCCATCTAGCAATATAAAAAAAAAGCTTTAATTAATTAATCAACGTTTTTTGTTTCTTCTCATTGTTCTACTTCTGTTCTGTAGCCAGATATTGGTATAGCTTTTTTCGCCAACGAGGAAACCTATTTATAGCGGGTTTGTTTGATTTTGATATTCTTTTTTACCATAGTCAATAGGCGGTTCATGTGCCGCCATATATTAAGTGACTACTAGAATCCATAGACATTACAATGTGAATCCTATTGTCTACTCTGAAACGTCCAAAGTCCTTATACTAGCGGCTGCTGAGCATCAGGTATCAGTCATAAGGTACATTAGCCAATTAAAGTTAATACTCACGAGAGTAATGGTACGGCTGGTCTCTTATCGCTGTCCGTACGCTACATGGACTTTAGTTTCCATCAAGTAAACCTATTAAACCAGACAATCTATATCCCTTCGAGACGCTTTGTAGCAATTAAATAATATTTAATTCATAAATACGATACTAATTAGATTCCAATTTATGTTCGATTAAATCTATACACGCGTTATGTAGGTACTTATAGAATGTAGATTTTAGTATCATAACAAATTCATAATATATTATATCTATTAGGATACGATTTCGTAATACGTAATACAACAGTAACTTATTTAGGAATTTGGGAACTTATTTAGGAAGCGTTTGCTACTATTCGTTCAACACAAATGATTTTCTTATTAGCTACAAGAGTAAAAGATGTTTTTGGGTTTTAGATAATATTATATAGTATTTTGATGGTGTTGAATGTAAAGGTGTGAAAGGTCGAATGGTAAGGGTGGTATTGTGGTAATGAAAATCTAATAACATATTTTTGTGGAGGCCATAAAAAATTCTTGATTCGGCAATGCCAATAAAGTGGTTATCTTATACCTTTAAACGAGCAATTCTTGTATATATATCTTAATCTCGGAAACGGCTTCAACGATTTTCATAAAATTTAGTATACAGAGGATTTCGGGGGCGATAAATCGATCTAGCTACGATTTATTTTCAGAAAATGTTGTTTTATTCGTGTTTTCAACAATCAACTTTATCGATAATCAACTTTATGACTCTTCCCGACATCTATTGGCGAATAATAATAGTATTTTTACTGCTTTAAAGACACAACAAGATGGCGTTATAAAAAAAAAAAAACGAGCCAAGCTCGGTCATCATCTAGTATTTCTTTAATGAACAAGATTGCTACAAATGTATAAGCTTTCAATTTCAGCGATATCTAGACATTCTAATAAGAAGAAAACACATTAAAAAGGATGGTGTTTTTTATTATTATCGTGAAAGGGCATTTTCAGTTTTATGTAGTGTAAAATAGATTTAGAATATTGTGTCTATTGCGTTAGATGGAAAGATCGACTTTAAAACTTTCTTAATTACATTAGGAATCTTAGATATTTGATAGTTAAATTAATTTCTGACTAGACAATAACAAAGTAGAAATGCTATAAGCCAAATTAGTCTATGCTGACTATTTAGAAAACAGTTTGAAACGCGAATGCCAGGTTTGATTTATTTAAAACTAGCTGACCCGGCAGACTTTGTAGTGCCTCAATCGATAAATAAAAGATTTAATCTTTTGTATTTTAAAACAAACAAAAGGAATCCGTCCGACGGGGGACACATCAAAGGGAAAACAAAATTGTTATTTTTATTTAATTCCGAGCATTTTTATATTTATCTACCTTTTAAACCTTCTCCGGACTTCCACAAGTAATTCCAGACCAAAATCAGCCAAATCGGTCCAGCCGTTCTCGAGTTTTAGCGAGACTAACGAACAGCAATTCATTTTTATATATATAGGTATAGATATATATACCTAGAGATGGGAAAAAACCGTTCCAAGCTTGATTTTGTTTACAGGATTGTGGCAACCGGAGAGTTTGGAAGGTCATACATCTGTGGTCGGGAGTTCCGTGGACTACGCAGCCGCGGTGCTACTGGCTGCGATGGCGGCTGTGTTATTAGCAGCTGTCGGGTACCAGTGCGCCGCTACTTGGAGATGGATAATGGGCAGGTAAGCAATGAGATTTTTCCGTTTATGTTTTAGTTTTACTGGTGGTAGGACCTCTTGTGAGCCCGCGCGGGTAGGTACCACCACCCTGCCTATTTCTGCCGTGAAGCAGTAATGCGTTTCGGTTTGAAGGGCGGGGCAACCGTTGTAACCTTAGAATTTATATCTCAAGGTGGGTGGCGCATTTACGTTGTATATGTCTATGGGCTCCAGTAACCACTTAACACCAGGTGGGCTGTGATCTCTTCCACCCATCCAAGCAATAAAAAAAAAGTCTCGTTATTTTTTCAAAGCGTATTTATTAAGGAGTCGCTTACGCTTAAAACCCCACTCCAACAAATTGGTGGGTGCTAAAGTTGAGCGTTGACAAAAAGCAATATGTTTTTTTTTTCAATTAAATAGGACTGTCTACGCTCGGGACAAATAATAAGTCGGTTTGTGGAAGTGATTTTAGTCAGACAATAATAATTTGATAACAAATTTGAAAATAACAAAAAAAAGGCGCCAAGGTCGTGAGTGATTGAAAAATGCACAGATAATATAAAAAAAATGAGTATATGCGTTTCGTTTCACGCTGTGTTCGAATAGACTTTATTAGATAGCACTTAAACATCTATTGTATTCTAATATTGCGTCCCGCCTCATGACTAGTGTAATAGTCTTCTTGTTATTTCCGTTTTACTACCTATTGAGTTAGATTACCAAAATTTGGCGTACATGCCAATTATTTAATACGTAACATAATTGATTAACATTGTGTTAAAATATTAATTAAGAGATGTTCATTTAATCTATATTATATTCTGCGAGCGTTAGGCTTATATTATAATTATTATATTAAATTGTTTTTTAATCGGGAAGGTTCTATTGGGGCCGTCCTACCCACCACCCCCCGTACAGGGACCCGGTGCTTCGCCCCTTCTACTCTTTGATGTGCTATTTAATATAATATGTAATTTAATTAAACTTTTTTTAAATTGTATAAATTGCTTTTATTACAAGTTATTGTTTTTATTGTGTTAAGTGCTCTGAGGAATTGTTCGAGATGATACCGTCATCTCGTTTTTACTATCGTACCGCCCGCCACCGGAGTAGAGTTATTCCATACTACCTGGAGCCACTGCGGTCATCGACAGTGCGTTTCTAGAGGTCTTTTTTGCCACGTACCATTCGGTTATGGAATGAGCTCCCCTCCACGGTGTTTCCTGAGCGCTATGACATGTCCTTCTTCAAACGAGGCTCGTGGAGAGTATTAAGCGGTAGGCAGCGGCCTGGCTCTACCCCCGGTATTGCTGAAGTCCATGGGCTTCGGTAACCACTCACCATCAGGTGGGCCGTGTGCTCGTCTGTCTACAAGGGCAATAAAATAATAATAAAAATTATGTAATTTTATTTTTATCAAATTTTTAGTCTGTTGGTGATAAAAAAAAAAACAATAATAATCATAGATTGAGGTTCAGAATCCATAACCATACCCATCACCCTAAGTGAATATTTTACTTTTTTTTTAATTTTCCTTAACATAATCGTTTGAAAATTTACTATTCTTGCTGTAATCCAACAAAGGTTTTCCTCGTGTCCAAGTGTGTAGTATTGTTGTGAGGGTCTTACGAAATATTCCTGGCACGTGTAACATATTACGAAGTAAGCCCATAAGATATACATACTAGGGATTGCATATAATGAAACATTAACAATTCTCATTCCGCTGGTGGAATGAAGCCTGTTTTTTTATTTGGTTCCAAAGCCTCAGGCATTGATTTGCCAATGTCACATAATGGACAAAAATGACAGGTGTATAGAGAAAAAAAAAACTAAATACAAATAAGTTTAAAGCCTGTTTGGTGGAAGATGCCGTGAGCCCACATGTGTCAGTGATTCAATCTAGTTCGGTCGCGAAGTAGCGGATGTACTAATGGGAATGAAGCTTCAATATTATGCCTCGAAGTGTTTTATAGCGGTTGGGGGTGTATACGTCTATGTATACACATTAAAGTGTCTACGAGCCCTGGTATCACTATTACCAGGTGGACGATGAATTCTTAATTTAAAAAAAAAACATATTTTAACTATTTAAATAATTCTATGTAGGTATATGTATGTAGAAAAATACTATTGTTACTGCATGCGATTCTTTAATTCTAGTTTCATGTTTACTCAGTAGTAGATCTTACGGCTCTCTCTCTCTCTCTCTCTCTCTCACTTTATCACAATTATAATTATATATGTTTATATATATTAAATATATGTTTTGGTATAAACGAATTTCGATTATAGTTTTCACGATGTAGTCAATAGAGCGGTCATATCAGAAAATGACTATTTTAGTATTTTTTAATTAACAACCTGCAAAAATATAGAAAGTAAAAAAGAATTTTATTGGTAATACAAATAAAACCCAATTTCGTGAGGCATTAAAGAGTACACCGGCGTCAAAGTACTATAATAATTTCGGTGATAAACACATTTTACGACTCAAACTTTATGACTATTGTGATCAGATTGAAATCGGTATTTGAAAAGAAAATTGACGTATAAAATTCAATTAATTTATTCAAAGCTCTCGTATTTAGTGTAACCTTAGGAGCAAGTACTATCAATCAAGGCCGGTGTCGGTCAAAATAAAACTAATTTCCAATTAAAGAATGCGTAGTTTTTTTTAATTCCTTATTTGTACCTTCATACGTTTGAATTTTCTTAATCTGGTAATCTTGTGCATTAATTTACTTCTTTCATTGATTTTCCTATATTTATTTGTATATATAGTATTTACAAAACTACTTTTAAATTAATGTGCATAAGTTTTTTAATTTTTATGCTCAATTTTTTCTTGATGCGTGGAATGATACATTATTTTCTTCTCACTTATAGTCTGACATATCTTAATGTAAAAACAGATGTTTGTTTCCCAGGACTCGACGTGCCTCCCAGGAGAGCAACTGCGACTCCCTATCCCGCCAGGCAGCCATCCGCATTAGCCACTCTCTACCCGATCTGCAGACCGAGCCCCTGAAGCAGGAATATGTACAAGAGCACAAGGACCCAGCAAAGAAAGTGAGTTTAAATAATATTAAAAGACCGATCATTGTTAGTATTGTCACGCGCTGAGGTTCGGGATAAATAAAATGTTCCACCAAAGTACAACTAACTAAAAAAAACAAAACTGTATACTTAATTACAATACTTAAAACACTTCACTTCACAAACACTTTAAAACACTCAATTCGCTTGTTCCGCTTCGCTTCAGGTGATCCGTTCGCTGTTTCGCTTCGAGTAGTTCCGATTACTGACTGCCTGCATGCCATCCCTACAACGCTTTTATAGCCGATACCTCATCCCTAGAATTATCGAGAATATTCCACACATCTCTAGTAGCAGTTTCCGCTGTCTGACAATAGATGGCGTTGTAATTCTCGAGCATTCTGGATCTTTCGATATTCGTTCAACTATTCGGCAATAGATGGCGTTACTCTTACTGGCGTAACAGTACTTTAAAGTATTCCAAGCATGGGTCACTTCTCGACGAACGTGACGAAGAAGTAGTAGTAGAAGTAGATGAAGATTAACTTAACCTACAGACACATCCCAGTGAGTTTCTCGTATAATCTCAGATTCAGCGAAGCTCCGCTCTTGCTAGGCAGAATGTTGGCCATCTCCCTTAGGCTGAGATCCATCAGCTCCGTTACCAGCCATGGCGTAGCCAGAATAGCCACTTGAGGCTACTGGTAGTTAGGTATGCAACACACAGATTTTCCTTAACCGTTTCCGTAACCACATTGTAAAAGGTTCAAAGGGCAATTAAAGTGAAACTTTTACTACATCGTCTCAAACTTTTTCGTCTATGTGTTGCATGTCGCGTGACGGTCCGCCGCGGAGTAGGGATAAAGTGAAAGGCGCTCGTTAGAGCAGCCAAAGCCAATATGGCGGCGCCTATAGTTCGCAGCAGCTGACCGCGTAGTGTATAGACTATTACTCATTTGTGCCAGTGCTCCACGCTATTTTGTTTGTTTTTGTCAGTGTTTAATGTAAATGTTGGTTGTCAGAGTTAAATGTCTTTAATGTGAAAAAAAGTTTCACTTTTGCCGTGGTTTCATAAAACCACACAATCCTTTTTTTCGATGGTATGGACTCACAAGACATCCTACCACTTGTAATAAAAATATTATATAAATTTTTAAATTACCATGATTATTGGTAACAAGATAGTTTCGTAACACACAAATGCTTGTGGCAATCAAATCGTGTGGGCTTCCAGTATCCAAGATAATGTTAATTTAAGGCGCCGCTGTCTTGTTTTGACTGACTATTCTAAAAGATTCTGTGTTCTGTAGAAACAACGCAACAAGTTGCTACTCTAAAGTACTAAATCGTTTTATGTGTTTTTTTACTAAACGAACACTTACAACATTTTCTCATCGAGCTTCTAAGAAAATGATAAAGTAATTTAAACGAAAACAATACGGCTTCTCTTGAAGTGGTAACATTAAAACGCTTTTACGGTGTACGGTGCGTTAACAAACAAACAGCCGGAAGATGTTTGGCTAAGGAGTGTCCTTCTTGGAATAAATGAAGAAATAATAATGAAATTACGATGTTAAACTTAAACTGATTTCAATGCAATGTTTTCTTCGGTTTTGCGACTTGTAGACGAACTGTTTTCACGATTTAATTTAGCCACGGATGACCACGAAAACTGTGAAGTATTCGGACAGGTCGAAAAGTTTAATAGTGACAATAGAAATTGCGATTAAAAATATAAAAGTAGCTATGATTATGAGTTCGATATTATTAATTATTCAATATTATTTTAGTTGATATCTATCAACCAGCTCACTGTCTGATGTTAAGAGATTATCTGAGTTCATGCTCCCTCCTTTTTCCGACTTTTCTTTTGACATGAATCCTGACATGGAGGTCCGAAGTTATTTACACGGTTCAATTCCTACATGCAACCTCACAGCTCGAACAAGTGTGGTGTTAATTCATAGTTTCAAGTCTCATTCCTATTATGACCCCTTGAGACAATCGCCCGAAGTCTCAATAGTGTAAAGGCTATTGAAACAGGAGTCCCACGTCGAGGGCTGGGATTAAAATATTCATTGCACTGGAATCTAGGCTAGGCAGGCTACATTGTAAATTAGAACGAACGGTTTGAAAACTCACAGATAATAGTTGGGACTAATTACTTCTTTGTTATTCCCGTATTTATTACCTCATTGTGATGTTTAATCAATATGCCGGGCTCGGTTTCCACGAATGAAAAAACTTGGAGCAATTTTTTTATAAACTTGAAACGTCTTTCATATTTTACTTCTGTGTCAGCTTACTTATCGGTGTGATAGCACTGACGGTGGTCGTGTTGGTTAGCTATACGACAATTGTCTACGTTGAATCGATTGATAGGATTGATAGATTTCTTAGACTGGTGGTAGGACCTCTTGTGAGTCCGCACGGGTAGGTACCACCACCCTGCCTATTTCTGCCGTGAACTTCGATCAATAATACTACTGATCCAAGGCTGTGAAGCAGTAATGCGTTTCGGTTTGAAAGGTGGGGCAGCCGTTGTAACTATACTGAGACCTTAGAACTTAGATTTCAAGGTGGGTGGCGCATTTACGTCGTAGATGTCTATGGGCTCCAGTAGCCACTTAACACCAGGTGTGCTGTGAGCTCGTCCACCCATCTAAGCAAAAAAAAAAAGTCTATCAAGTCTTTTAGAAAGGCAAATAACTGGAAACCAGCTTTTCTCCCGTAGCTTTCCGGACTAAACTAAAAATCTTGTGGGTTCGTGTCCAGCAATTGAATGAAAAATAGCCCATATTCCTTCCTCGTATACCAAATATATGGAATTTCGACAAAATCGATTCATTACGATAAGCGTGAACACGTGACCGATTGAGTTACTTCCGTTTTTATGAATTTTGCTAGGGCTTTTTTTTATAAATCGAATTCATTAATGTTCTAGACGGGCTGACAGCTTGCGAATCTACGTGACCATCGCAACTTATAAATACGACTATGCGAATCTGTCCTACCGACCGAAAGGGCTGGTGGTCGTGGCGCCGACGACCGCCGTTCCGGCGTCCCGAAGGGGAGGGTGATGGGAGAGATGTGCTCCGCACTAAACACTTCACTTTCTCCCCTTTGCTTTTCATGAGTTCTGTCTCATGCGAGGTTTGGACGTTAGTTGGTGAGCGACAGGAGGCTTTAGTCGGTTCGACTTCAACATACTCCGCGCGCCATCCCCAGTGGAGGGCGGAAGTCCGGCGATTTCCTCCTGACAAAAAAAAAGCCAATCTGTAATGTCAATGGACCATAGTATAACGTCTTAATAATCATGCAATAAAGGAAAACAGTGGATTGAATTTAATACGGTTTAATCTCGCATTGGTTTTCCAAATCCACAATTTCCAAGGTAATGTTTGTTTTAAAACCGATTCAATAAATGCGGCCCAAGTTTACTAATCCCAATTTTTTTTAACCCGCTTTTAACAGTCCTCTCGTTATTACAAGTACAGCACGGAGTCATGATAATAAAAATCACTTCTTTATAGTTTTTTTTTAACCCTAAATATTTCCGGGATGAAAAGCAGCGGAATACATTTTTCTGTTTATGTGCCAATGAAAGTCCATCGGAATAGGTTTCCGAGATAAGTTAGGAAGTTAAAGCACAAAGTGGAATAAGCCAAGTAGCTTTAAAAAACAATTCAGTTCGGAATCACGGAGGGACACTTAAATTTTATCTACTTGTACAGTTAATAGAAGTTTTGGCAGTTTGACGTATTTTGCTATTGAAACTTCGACTCGGGAAGAGTTTCTGGAGAGAAGCGAAATTTTCAGGAAAGAATGTTCTTGCTTATTGCCTAAGATATAGTATACGTTTAGAGCCGCCTTTATTGAATTTAACCGTCAGATACAGGATTTAGTAATAATATCGAATGTAAACTAAATGAAGATGTTGCGCTGGACGGTTGGGGTGACCAGGAAGGACAAAGTTCGGAATGAATACACACGGAGGAGCTTTAAAGTCACATCAATCACAGACAAAATGACGGAAAATCGCCTTAGATAGTATGGCCATATCATGAGACGGGACAAAGATCATGTGGTGAAGGTCGCATTGGGCTTGCCAGAACAAAAGAAAGGTAGATGCCGCCCGCCATCGATCTGTTGGTCAAACATCGAAAGAGACCTTAAGAAAGCCCAATTGCCAAAACCGACAACCCAGAACAGATCAGCCTGGCGCCGTAGAGTGAGGAGACCCGACCCCAGATAACGGGAACAGGGACGGATACAAAAAAAAATACATAATAATATAATATAATACAACCTAAGATGATTGGTTTATAAGTAATTGTGGACGACAAAACAAAATGCACGGCTTATTCGCACAAATGACACGACACAATTATGCCGGTGTTAAAACATCGCGTGCAGTAACCAATTTCGTAGAAGTAATGCGTACTTAGTACAAGTTAACAATTAACTTTTGCGATAAGGGCATTGTATACTTGAGAAAAGTCGGATGATTGTTAGCCCAAGGACCTTCACTACTGGAAACAGATGCCATAATAGAGCGGATTCCCATGACTATTCAGCAAGTCGGTCTACCTACTCATGCTACGTTTTCCGCTGTGCGTTTTCATCTTGAATAGCTTGAAAGTGCCCCTTCAACCTCGCAATCCTACGGGCTATGTTATATAAATCTGCGTAGTTAATAGTAGCAGCCACACGTATTTCTACTGTAAGTTGTCATAATTGATATGTTCCATTTGAATTCAATCATTAATTCAATTTCAATGGGGAAGATTGCTTTGAGATATAAGGAATTTGACATACGAGCAATGTTACGTATCGAATTAAACTCGTATGTCGAGGTACCACATTATTTTCTTCGATTTTTGCGAGATTTGACATATTTACAACTTCTTTTTCGTTTTAATCTGTTTGGATTTTTTTGACATGACAACGTCTTTTAATTCAGTGGAGCCGGCTGCACGCATGAAAAAACATGAATCATGCGACGTTACCTCGCTCTGAGGCGTTCCATTTAG